CAGTCGAAAACACATTCTGCTACGCATGCCACGGCTCCAAGCAAATATAGTGGTATTCGAACATTCACCACAACGCAGTGCCTAATGGCGCAACGGAGGATCCTAGTAATAACCCTCCCCCCCCCCTCTCCAAAACACTTCATTCCATATCTGACACGAACAATGATTAGGTCTGCTCAATCGGCAACCCAGGACAATACCTAAACACCCGCCACAGTGCCGGCCACACGCTATCAAACCTCCTCCAAGGGACACTCGCCTTCCCACCGTTCAGGAAAAGTGCTAGCTACGGTGGCAACGTCTCCATGGGCGGGTTTGACAGCACGTACACGCTCTTCCAGTCACCATCGCTCATGAACGTCTCAGGAAAATCAGTAAAGAAGGCGTGGAAAGCTTTCATGGCGGAGCTCAGCGAGGAGGAGAAGAAGAATGCGTTACTGGTTGTGCTGCACGACGAGTTGGAGGCTGCGCCTGGTCGGGTGAAGGTGAAGAAGGGGGGGTCCGCCAAAGGGCATAATGGGATTGTGTCTTGTGTTGAGTCTTTGGGGTCGAAGGTGAGTTGTTGTCTCTGCCCGCTTTGGAGGGGGAGAGGGCCGGTTGGCGGGGGAGAGGAGGAAGGGGGGAAGTGGGGAAGGGAAGAAAGCTGATGAGACGTATTCACATCAGGACTTCTGCAGGATCGGCATAGGTATCGGTCGACCAGACAGTCGAGATCGGGAGACTGTCTCTGGGTATGTCCTTGGGAAGATGACGAGTCACGAGAAGGACACGCTGAAGATGGAGTCATTACCGGAGGTACTCGCGGCGCTGGAAAAGTTATCAGTTTAAACCAGACTCCCCCTTGATCCGACCCCTTTCTTCCACATTTCATTTATATCCGATATATAAACTTGTACACCGCTTTGTAAATACTTCCCGGTACTTCTTTCCCCGCGATGCCATCCATAGCCAGATATATAGTGCTTGTACATAGCGGCACCATACATATGGTAGACATCCAATAGAACGCTGCTATTCTTACTCCTTAATTCAAAACAAACATAAACAGAGCCACAAAAGCACCATTCCCATTCCTCTTGCAATGTAGTCCCAGTTTATAATAAGACTAGCACATGCTCCAACAAACCAGACCCCACCAACCAACCCAGCGTGGCGGTAATGGTACTGCAACGCTACCGATCAATCTCGCACCGAGCAGAAAAAAAAAAAAAAACCAAGCTTAGTCACTCCTGCTGCTTCAGTTGAATGGCCGCGGCAGAGCCACAGCAAAAAGGAAGTCCAATAAAGGTGCAAATTAATCAGCCCGGTCGCGTCTAACATGTTTTGCGAGATTTTAGGGCATTGGTTGCCCTTCCCTTCTCTCACTGCTTCACAACCGGCGCTTTCCAATCGTTAACACAACTCCCCTATGATAATAATATGATAACTGTATCGCCTTCTCTCACATCTCGTGCCGTAAGTCAACCGTCGATGGCTCACAGACCCCACCCCAAGCTGAAAGGGCTTCCCGACAATTGCACTTTACACTTATTCCTATGGGGGGGGGACGAAGTGCTCTATTCGTGATTGGCTTCCCGTGCCGTACCAAGGAAGGAAGGATGTGAAACGGGCGGGCTCTATTTGTTGTTGTGTGCTCATTATGGTACAGTAAATCGGGGAATTTTTTTTTTTTTTTTTTTTTTTTTTGGAGGCCAAATGTGGGACGATGTTATTGCTGGTTCGTGTTGTGGACATGGATTCTCACTCACTCATTCCTTTTTTTTATTTTTTTTTTATTTTTAAACTCTTTTTATGTATGGCCAGAAAAAGGCCCTCAGTGGATGTCACATCTCGGGCGCCGGTGTCCCTTGTTGGTACGAGTACTTATATGGGGGGGGGGGGTGGATGGGAAAGTTGAGCCGTGTTATGGGCTGTGCTCGAGGATAAGTAAGGTTTTGCGAAATTTACGGGGGGGATTGTTTACGGGAATCGTGAGATTATGTTATTATTATTATTATTATTATTATGGTAACCGGACCTGGATTGGCTTATCATAGGCTATCATAATTTACATACTCGCATTAGGTTCCTGCCCTTGCGTCCCCTATCCCCTGTGCAAACCTTGTCAAGGCTTTGGAAGAAGAAGAGGGCATTGAAGATTTCGTGTGAAGTGTGATCTGATACTGGTACAAGTACGATAAAGGCTTTGGGGAGGGGGTACCGGTAGGCTGCTTTTGCGATTAGTTACTCGAGTATGATATGATACACTTTATCCTGCCTTATCCAGTAGATCATTTGGGATACGGTACTGTACGCCGTAAGAGACATACACTGTAATTATCGATTACCGAGCACTTGCACTCGAGTATCCCACCCGTCCTAGGCAATGAGTATCATACAGCACCCGAAAACAAGGGGAGGGGGAGGAAACACCTTGTATTGGTGCTCTGTCTGATATACTGTACGCACAGGTTCTTTTCTCTAACCACATATCCCTTTGATCCCCATTTTCGGTTACAGTACTGTACCGGTGGTACTGGTACTCGGGCACTTATGGGCCAGGACAAGTATTAAAAGGTCGAACATTCGACAGCCGTATTTTATACAGGTACAGTACTCGTAAACGGAACGCCGGTAGTGTGCAGGGCTATTAATCCTGGCTTTGGGAAAAAGCACAGGAGTCCCGTACCGCAGCATCGCATCGCATCGTTATCGTATCGCAGACGCTGGTCAATAGGTTATCCGATTCGAGATGTCATCAAATAATCGCTACGGATACCGGTGTCATCATCGACTGCGCACATCTCGAGTACCGTACCTGAATCGGTATCTCAGCCCAGCGATACTTAAAGAACCGCAGTACTCACTGTAGATCAGAATGCTACAGTACCCACAGGTCGAAATTGCTGGGTATACTCGACTCCTCTTTCCTGGCCATTGTTTTGGGGTGTCGCTTTTAGTCCATGCATCTCTGTCGGTGTAGACTATATCAAGAAGCTTTACACTAAGGGGCACTGTGAACGTGCACAGTACCAGGTTCCAAGAAAGGAAAGAAAAAAAACTAAACTCATTGGGATACAATACCGTAGCACAGTCTACCTACCCACAAGCTGTCATGAAAAGTCGATATCTTATCATCATCGCCAGATGTGGGGGGGTTGATGATTTGTCGTACTAACTAACTACCGGTAGTAGCAACTTGACGGTAATCATCCCATCTTGTGTCTTTTTTTGTTTGTTTGGGGTTAGGGATTTCCTGAAGATTGATAATTATGCTCTTCATGTTTGTATTTCTATGGGTAGACCTCCCCGGTTGGGTCCTTTTTCGATCTTCAGCGCATGTGGAGTTATACCCGGGGAAGGGTTTCTTCCGTCTCGCCAGGTACTGTACAAGGAAGGAGCACACATTATAGTATGATGATGATATTACCATAGAATAGACCTTGTTTGGCCGTTTCGTGCCCATCGTGGTATGATATCCGCCCAGGATTGTTTGCCCGGTTTGAGGGGTTTAAAAACTGCATGATAGGGAGAAGAGGGCGGCGTAACGCAGTATCATTTGCGGTACTCGGTTTCTTGCTTGCTTGCCTGAAAGAAGGCCGACTGTTGGAAAGGGGATGTTTGGTATTGCTTGGAAGCATCCCTCGGATGTCGCTTGTGCAGTATGATACTTGTAACTTGATTGATGCTCGGAATGGTTTCGCGAGGCTCTAAGCAAGCTCGGCTGAGGGGAGTGCCAATGATACCACACATCGATAGGTTAGTAGGGAAAACTCTGTGATTGCCCGAGAAGCCTAGTTTTTGGCGCCTTTGTATCATAAGTAGACTACTTTAGCACGGCATGACGGCCATCCCACCTACCACCATTTGTTTGGATCGGTTGATCCAATTTTGGGGCGGGGGGGGGAGGCGCCTCTGAAGGACTAGACTACCAGTAACACTCAATGCCAGTGCTGGACTGTCCCAGAACTTTACTAACGCCCAAACAACAGCTAAGTTATAAAATCATACCGGTGTCTTACTGGAAGGAATTACATTTAGTTTTCATCATCTATCAATACCACATGAAATATTGCTCCCTTAAGGACATTCAATTATTGGGCCAAAGCTGTCATCAGAACTTTCCGGTACCCTACCTGAGAGAACTATACTGTAGACATCCTCGATATCTACTTGTATGAGAGAACTCTTGGGTAGAATGGTTTTGGGGACTGTTTGACGCATGAGGGACATTGCAGTTGTGTAGGGCATATTGGGCCCTTGCACCTATCCGAGGGGACATTTTTGAAGCCTTCTGTAAAATACCATAATAATTATTATTAAATTTTCTAATAATAATATCGTCATGATAAAAAGGGTGAAAGAAGAAAGCCGCTGTATTTCGTTGAAACCTTGTCATCGGACTTATCTACCTCCTGATATAGCTGCGCGTTTCAACATCTTGCGCCGAGGCTTGCCAAGAATCTACTGTGCGGCTCATTTCCGATCTTTTCTTCGAGAAGGACGTGCGGTATCCCGAGGGAGTTAGTCCGTTGTGAAAACGGAGGGGAATTATGTGGGTTTCGTCATCAGTTATCAACCGTTTTTGTGCTAAGCAAGTTGGTCTTGTCGCCAAGACCTTCAAGGACTACGGGTGGTCGGTTCAACCGGGTCCCGTTCTGGGAGAGAACGCCCTGCCCCCCCTCCCTCCTGAATTAATAATATTTGCAGGTTCTTATGTGGGGAGAGGAATTCTGTCTTTTACTCTTTTCCTTCTCTTCTCTTCCTTCTTGCAGTACGGTACTCGAATACCGGTACTGTACTGTACAGTGCTGGCACCCTAGTACCGTATTGAGCACTATCAAGCCTGATCGATCTACCGTACAGAACTTCACAAAGCGTCCCATTGCATGCACAACCTTTCCTTCCATCCATAGAGAATAACACACCCCTCCCTGCCCTTTCATATCCTGCCCCATCATACAAGCTCTCCCCGGCAAAACGAAAATAAAGTAAAGAATAAAACCCAACATGTCCCTCCATCGGTACCTGCCGGCTCTCCTTCTGTCGTTGGGCACTGGCTTAGTACCAGTAACTGCTCACGAGCACCACACAGAAGGAATCCCGGAGGGAGAAGTGGTCTCTCCCGATCCCCTAGATTCGATACTATGGATCCACATCTTCACAATGATAACCGCCTTCGGAATGGTTTTCCCCTTCGGAATGGTCCTGGGGATTGCTAGGAGCAGGTGGCACGTTCCTGTACAGGTTCTGGGAACCGTCCTGGCGGTTCTGGGCTGGCTGCTCGGGCATGCGCACGGGGGGAGGCAATTCGCGCCGAACATTCACGCAGCCTTTGCGTCGTCGTTGATGAGCATGTTGGCACTACAGGTCGGCTTGGGGGTCTATCTGAAGTTGCACTTGGAGAAGGGATGGCATAGCGTTGTCAGGTGGCATCTGGTTCGCTTGCATGGCATTGTCGGGAAGGTGATGCCTGTGGTGTCCTGGACACAGATGCTGTTTGGGGGGATCACGGCGTGAGTTTATTATTCATTCATTTTTCCTATCGTCTATAATTTTTTTTCTTCCATGCCGGCGCTAGGATTGTGGGTTGCTGTTGATGGACGGGCAATTGACGGTGGTGGTGGTTGATAGGCTAGGGTTTTGCCGAGCAGATCACCAAGGGCAATGCTTAGCGCATTTTGTAGGTCATCCCTTTCTTTTCGTCCTATGATATCTTGCTTTTTTTTTTTAGGGGGACGGGGTCACTGACTGGCTTTCCTTGGCGGATACGGTAGATTATGGGCAGCTCGTTCATAGGGTATGGCATAATCATGGTGATTATGCTTTTTGCTGGCCAAGCTTGGTTAAAGAGGACTGCAAGGTCCCAGGAATTCTGGGATTCTTTAGTGATCACCGTTTGGGGTGGGTTTCGCCCAGGGTTTATGTTCTCTGTTTTTACTAACTTTTTTGTATTATAGGATGTGTAAACTCATGTATGACTACAATTGCCTTCCTCGAGCGGATCTATTGGGCTTGTACTGATGAGCGCCTTCCTTAGTCACGGAGCACAGGTGGGGCCAGGAATGGGCACATAATGATATACAGCATACTTCCATGGGTGTTGTTTGGTGGTGTGCGGGTCTTCTAGGACTATGGCTTTCTCGGGGAAAGAACAAGCAGCCAAAACGCAACCTCATTCCCGGGATTGTGATATTCCTGACCGGATATGCTATGGTAACCAAAACTGGTGCCCGTCCGTTCCAATGCATACTGACGTGAAAATTCTTCAAGTCTGCACATCCTCAGCATTTGCCGCTCTCAACCATGGTGCACAGTGTATTTGGTTACACCCTTATGGCAGCCGGGCTAGCGAGGGTCATCGAGATTGCGTTTGTTCTGCGAGATAAACCTGCCCTTGATGGAGAACCGAACAGTTTCCAGCATTTGACACCATTTGTGAGCCTCGGCATTTTCATTGGACCTTCCGTTCATATCTTTGAGTTATTGTGCTGATTATTATGTTGCTTTGTAGCTGCTCTTTGCTTCGGGTCTTAGTAAGTTTCGTGGTCCCAAGATTGGCAATTGGTCACATGCTGGCCTTTGAATGTGTTGACTGATGGCTCACGTTTTGACAGTTTTCATGTGTGCCACCGAAGAGCGTATGTTGACCCATGTTCCTATGATATTAACATTTGTTTCTGACCCTGTTTTAGAACTTGCACTTGTCAGCTCCGCTGAGATCGATCACGTGTCTTATCTTCTCGTCCTATACAGTGTGGCATTCCTGATGTACCTCTGTAGGTGTTGCTGGAGCCAACCCTTGAACTTTACTAACGGTTCTGTCATCTATCAGTTACAATGGTCCTCATTCACATATATGTCTCGAATCCTAGGGACGCGAAGCAAGCCCCTCCAGCCGTCCTGGCAGAGCGTGGCATGAATGGTCACGTGGATAGGAGGGTCCACGATGCTGAAGAGTTCGAACTCGAGGGCCTGATCAGCGAAGACGAGGGGGAAGAGAATAAGCAAGAGAGTAATCCGTAGTATCACTATAGGGGGGGCTAAACAGCGATGACAAAAATGTTTAATAATGGGACTTGGGCCTGCCGAGCCCACGTGGCGGAACCTGTTTTCGGAGGAGGGACAGGAAGGGTATTAATAGCATCCGGGCGTTATGGGCGTTCTCTTTTTCGTCTATTATCATGGAGTGATCATGTACATTTCATTCTGCATCGTAGTTTGGGGGATAAATCATGGGAAATACTGCTAGTACTTATTATAAGTACTCGGGTCCAGCAGAGGATATCTTAGCGGTCGATTGCAGTGGTGGGAATGGTAGCGTTATCTATAATAATTATAGACATGGGTAACCTCTATCATTGCTGTTATTCAGGTTTCATCCGGGTGGATGTGTAACAATGGGTAGCAGTGTTCTCAGGTGCTCATTGCCAGATACAAGTGCTGCACATGGGGTGTACGAAGATGCGGGTTATGCACACCATGGACTGGCGATATGGGGGTACAGTTTTCGTTCTGGAGCATTCACACTTTACGTCACTGCACTATAGTGTCGATGGAAAACTTGGGGTACAAAGAGGTGCAGCAGGCCTGGTCAACGATGAGAGCACAACAAAAAGGAAACGAGAATAACGGGTAATCTAAAAAAAAAAAAAAGACTCCTGACAGAGGAAGGCGTGCATGTAGATGGCATTTATGTTTAGTGTGGCTTCCGCATACCTTGACATCATATTCCGCTGCGCTTCGGAAAAGGAAAAAGGGGCTTTCCAGGACTAGGGATTTATCACTAGAGCCTAGCATTTAGTGTATATGTGGGGTGTTTATCGGAGGAAGGGGGAATTCGTATCTGGTGCACAGGACTGGCATCAGAATATCCTTCGCACTCGGAGTAACAGGAACTGGATACAGAATATATGGAACTGGATTTGTGTAATTGTGTTCATAATGCCAAAGTGTCCTTTTTCTTTTTCTTTCTTTCCCTCCTACTTTTTTCTTGAAAAGAACTGCTATCCCTCACTATCCTACATAGATCTAAGGGTGGTGGTGTGGGGTTCAAATTTTGTTTTGGGTGTGATAACGCTTCCTCCTAAGGTACTTTTTTATATTGCGAACAAGTTTCAAGTATATCTGCTGCAGCTACTTTATAGATGCTAGTACTACAGTTGCACCTAGCTATAATACAATATAATTAACGCCAAGAATTGGGAGATCAGGGGGCTGCGATCACTACGGGTAATTTTTACGATGGGGGGGGGGTTCACTATATATATATAGCAAGTTATTTTCCGGTGCAAACTTACCTGTGTGCCCACAACATCGGTTCATTAGTCTATATAGCCAGGTACAAACTGTACGAGTAGTGGTAGGATTGGAGTCTGTCACGATACCTGCACCTGAATTTAAGTGTTGAGCAGATCTAGTAAATATCTTCTGATATGAGATGAGAGGCTGATAGGGTAATTAACACATGTTGTAACTATTGGGAAAAGAATTTTACAGAACATATTAGGAGCATCCTGAGAAGGTGGACACCCCACAGAGGTGTCCTGCAAGATAACCGTATGAGATTATAAGGTCTTTTTTTTTTTTTTTTAGTGGCTAGGAAACACAAACTTAAAAGATAATATCCTGTCCGGGGAAACTACTAGCTATGCTCGTACGAGTACAACATGTGAACAAACATAGTAAAGGTGAAAACAACCAAGTCCTAAGACAAATGCCTCGAAGCAACAGGATAGAATCAACAAAACTGGCAGGCAGTAGAGCCAAGCAGAGGCAAAGCAAGGTATTACAACTACAGTACTATTGTATTAACATAGCAGTAGTGGTGCCGGCAGTGCATGGGAATGCCCAGGTGGGGTGGAGTGGTGCGGGGGACGGGGGTACAGTACACGACCGGATGGGGGAAGTATAATATGACAAAGTTAAGAATATACTACTAACTGGGCAGATACGCAGAGATTATTATTTTCTACCATCTATTTCCTTGCCCTTTTTCCGGATCTCCTGGACAGGAATAAGTATGATGCCATTCTCACTGGATGTGTGCGTACTCGAGCATGTTACATGATCCATAACGCTGTAATGCCAGTGGTCCCCTTCGGGCTTGAGTTAATGGGTCATCCTCGGTTTTAGAGGATTGTTGTATCATACGGGTATCGTAGATTCGCGCGTTCATCGGGTGTCACTCGAGTTGGTCTGGCTGTTTGCTTGGCCTTTCTCGGGTGCGAAACGGCAATCTTTCGGCACCGCACGTGCTCCTCCTAGTGGGGGGAACGAAAAACCGGACACCTGTTTGACGATTGCAACCAGGAACAACAACCGAAAAAGTGACTTTTTGGCAAAGAAGCCCATCACCTTCTCGAAAAGCCTTGGGAATTTGGGGAACAAAAGTTCCCGAGTAGTAATTAGGACACTGCAAAGAAGTATGTATACTCGAGTACCTCGGGGGGGGTTTTTTTTTTTTTGATACAAGTATATTCTCTTGTTCCCTCGATATCCAAGGTATGCCCGCGTTTTGGGGGCATCCGGGAGCACCGCAGCGATTGTGCGGGGGGGGGGGAAGGAAGATGGGGTTGCTGGCTCAATGGTGGTGATATGACGATAAACGTCATTCACTCAATAGTGGGGCTTTTTCTTTTGTTTTTCTGTTTTTCTTTCTTTGAAATGCTGATGGAAGTGCAACCATGATAGGATGGATGGACGTTGGGGCAAGTTAGGTTTAAATAAACAAACGTGGCAGAACCGCTTTCCTTTCTCCAATCTGCAGGGCTTGCGTGCTGCGGCTGCTGCTGCGGGGGTGTTTGTTCATTTATCTCTCAAATTTTTTTGAAACGGTATGATAACATAATTACTCGAAGCTGCAGGGCATCCTTACTGCACTGCACTGCACTATACTTGTGCTCGTACAAAGTGTTTCTGGGAGTTTTTTTCCTCAATTTATCGGGGTTCTATTTGTTGAGTAGGGAATGATGGTAGGAAGGACCTTTTGGTTTTGTTTTGTTTTTGGTATCGTGGTAACGGTGATATGGGGGTTGTACAAGTACTATTGGCCACTGGCCGCTTACACTATCGTTACCCCCAGAGCATGACACCGGTAGCGGTAGTTGTATAATATCGCGAGGGTAGAGGTTGGTTCGCTGTTGGTTTGGCTTGTTCGGATGCGAGTTAGTGAGTGAGTGAGTAGAAACTACCAGCCCCCGGGTGCTGTGTGCAGGTCACTTGTGTGATACTGAAGACTAAGTTAGCTGGCAGCTGCTGGGGGTGATCTCTTGTGTTCGGTGGCACCGGCACCGTATTGTATCATACTCCTACAGTTCCATACTGCACGGTACTGTACATATCGTTCACTGTTGGTAGAGTCCAAGAGGGGCTCGAAGAGGGGACTCGTGCCGGTCTTTTTTTTACAAAAGAGAGTTCTTCGAGTGCGGTTGGTTGTGGGCTAGTTCTTTTTTTTCCTTCTTCATCCTTTACCTACGTGATCATGGCTACCGCTCTTCTGCATCCCGCGCCTCCACCTCTCTCTCTCTCTCTGTCTGTCTCTTGCTGACTGACTTTTTGCCTTCGCCCCTTCCCCTACCACCACCCACCTGCCCTTTCCTCCTCGTGCTGTCCTGTCCCTCCCTCCCTTTTTCCCTCCCTCCCTTCCTCCCTCCCTCCCTTCCTCCTTCCCCCCTCTCTCTCCCGACAAACCCTACTGTAGACACCCTCCCCTCCCCCCGCCTTCAACATCCTCCCTCCTCGACTCTTTCACAACCATAAACCTCCAGAATCAGCTCTCATTCCTACTTCCTATCATACCAGTGCTTTCCCCTTCAACCCTTTTGGGTGTTTTCTCTGACTAGTCATCATTCTATTTTGTAGCCTCCTTCCTCCATTCCATTCTTTGTAGCCCTCTTACGAATAGCGAGCGAACCCTCGTCTTGCCTATCAGAGGTAGCTCGACACGCTGGGTATTTAATTACTGCCTGCTCCTGAATTTTTACCCTTCCTGGAACATTCTCTTTGATTCCTGAGTCAAGTAACGCGTACTGTAGCGATACAAAAAAAACATTACACTCTCTCACACACACACACTCTCTCTATCCACCCTTTCCCTCATTTCTATCATCACACGACAGGAAGCCGTACACACACAAAGTTAACCGCTCTCTCCTTTCCTTTCCCCCTTTACTGATATCCCTCAACTTTCACTATCACCATGACCGATGAACGCAAGATCGCTGAGCGCATGCTCATGAACGAGCTTAAGGAACTCTCCAAGGAGAACTGGGTGAATGCTGAGGTAGGTCTTCGGTTCCTCGCTGTGCCTTTGCCCTTAGGCTCGAGTGGTTTTGCTCCCTGGAAGCAACGGCCCACTGATCTGACAAATTTTTTTCTTCCTCGCTCTACAGCCTCGGGATGGAAATTTGTTCCTTTGGGATATCGCCTTGATTGTCGTAAACCCCACATCTTTGTATTGTGGGGCTTATCTTAAGGTATTATTACTCACTCTGGTTTTGCTCCTGTACTGGGCACTTTGTCGGTGCATTGCATCATCTAACTCGTTTGTGCTTTTTCTCCAGGCCGAACTCAAGATTCCGAAAAATTATCCGATGAGCCCTCCCGAGTTTAAGTTTGTTCGACCGCTGTTCCATCCCAACATCTATCCAGATGGCAAATTGTGTATATCGATTCTTCATGCCCCTGGGGAAGATGAGACATCTGGAGAGCTCGCCTCGGTACTTGAATTAGTGCCCCTCGCTTGGAGAATGTTGGTCACAGTGGCTAATGGTTTGTTAGGAACGTTGGTCGCCTGCTCAACGTATCTTTACCGTGCTGATCTCAATCTTGTCGCTGCTCGACGATGCCGAGGTTTCTAGCGCGGCGAATGTCGATGCTGGTGTTATGCTACGCAAGGAGCCTGAAAAGTATAAGAAAGTCGTAAAGGAGCACGTCGAGACTTCTAAGCGCGATATCCCCCCTGGGTTCAAGATGCCCAGCCTTGTCGAGACTAAGCCACCAGAGAAGGAGGAGGTCGATGATGACTTTTGGTGTGAATTTGATGGGGAGAGCGATTATGGGGATACCAGTGATGATGAGGACATGGTTTTTGGTAGATTGCCTTTCGGCCCCTAGTACGGTTTCGATTTACTGACCTGGCTGGCGTTTAGAGGATGATGAAGAATCTGATCCCGACGAGGCGGAGGAGATGAATCAAGAAGGAGAGAAGCGTAGTAGCTGTTGAATTGCCTGCCCAATTATATTTCCTGTCTCGCTGGTTATCTGTTGTGGGATTCTGGTGTCCTATTGCAATATACTTTCCTTGCTGACTCTTCCCCCCCTCTCTCTTTTTCTTTCTTTTTTTTTCTTTCCTTTTTTTTTTTGGCGATTCGCTTTATTCTTGTTCTTGGAGCGATTAAAATTTTAGCGTTGCATCTTCCCCACTAATTTTACTTTATCTCTCCGTTCCTTTTTCTCTCGCTGTTAAATTCTCAGGTTTCTCTTGGCTGGCTGGTTGGCGTTTCTTGGGGAGGAGATGGAGGAGAGGGTAGCATCAGTGGGGGGGGGATTACAGTCGAGGAGGATCCCGAGAAAGGTCAATATTCGTTTGAGGCTTCATGACCTGGCGCCCGTCGGTTCATTTGTTTTTATATTTTTGTTGCGCGCATGTGAGGAGCAAATTTCTCACTGTCCACAACTTGTAATCGGTGTTGTGGTCCTGGGGCTGATTTTCCAAACACCTAAACTCGGAAGGGGTGTTGCAGATGCTCCACGAGTGAGGAGTCGTGATTGCCTAATTGTTGCTGCTAAAAAAATGACGTAGAAGATCTTTCCCCATTAGTAAGTGTAATCTCGGCCCTGCGGCAGAGCCGCAAGCAGCTAGCAACACACTGACCAGTGGAAAAAAAAAAGAAGAGAAGAACGTTGGTAAAAGATCCCCCGCCGCCCCACATCCAACGACCATGCGTCTATTTCTCAAAGTCTGCAACAGGAATGTATTAACACATTCCCGACGGCCAGTGGTCAGCCATTTGCCGCCTGCTATCAATGTCGGCGGTGGTCACTTCCTCTCGAAGCCAAAGGACGAATATGGCAGAGCCCGGTACTCACAAAAAAATAGCAAGGCACCGTACAACGACCTAGCATCGGAGCAGCTGCAGCAGCAGCAGCAACAGAAAGAGAAGGAAAAGAAGAAGCGGAAAGCAGGCTCCCAGTCCTCTAAGAATTCGCTCCGAAAGGTTGCGGCTCAAGCGGGGCGTGCGACAAGTGGGACCGGGCGGACCAGAGTACTACCCCCCCACTACCTTTATCTTAGAAAGCTACTGAATCGGCAAACAAACAGGTCTGCACAGCCTACTGCACCGCAGAAAAATACGACCTCCCGAGCGCGACGCGCCTCCTCCTCGTGCAGGGTTACACCTCCGACCCCTTCCTGACGGGCTTGGACGAGCAGGTTATCCACCTCCGCCTGCCCATACCGAATTCGACCCCGAGTACGGAGACGGGGCATCAGGTTGAGAAAGGGGATGTGTTTATATTCCCGTCGGGGAACATAGTATCCTGGTCACTGCCGCCGGAGGAGGTGATGTCGGTGGGAAGGGTCATTGAACCGGCGGGGGTCCGGGTGTATGCGGAGGGGGATGTGGAGACCGAGGATCTGGAGTATGTTGAGGACTCTAGGATTCGCAGGAGCAGGATCGTCGGTGACGTGATTATGCTGGGGACGGCCAGACGGGAGAACCGGGTTTTGGCGGAGGAGAATGTGAGTCCTCAGCCATCCTCCTCCTCCCAAGACCCTTCCCCCCTGCCACCAGTACCGGCGTCGGCAGCGCACGCACCGAAAGACGAACTAAGAACGACCCTTGCCAAAGTTGCCTTCTCCTCTGGCCTCTCGCGGAGCACGAAACTGGCGGTGCTGGAATCCCTGCTCGACTCCTACCTAACGACAATCCACACTATCCCCACGCTCCTCTCCCGCGGCTCAAAGCTCCCCTTCACGCGTTCCTTTATCCTGCGCAAGACGGGTGAGCTGCTGGAGTTTCGCGCGCAGCTGAACCTCTACTCCGAACTGACGGACTCGCTGCCCGACATATTCTGGGACTCCAGGCACGAGCTCGGACTCGAAGGGTATTATGGCGCTGTCGGCCGCGCGCTGGATGTGGATGTGCGCATTCGACAGCTGAATGCGAAGCTGGATTACGCTTCCGGCATTGTCGAGGTTCTCAGGGAGAGGCTGAGCGAGAGGCATTCGCTCCTACTCGAGTGGATGATTATAATTTTGATTACCATCGAGGTTGGCTTTGAGGTGCGCAGGCTGTGGGATGAAGGACGGAGGAGCGAGGTTGAAGCTAGGGAATATAAGGAGTGGAAGGAGAGGAAAGAGAGGGAGGAGGATAGCGAGTTTCAGAGGTGGAGAAAGGAGAGGGAGAGGGAGAAGGAGATGGAAAGGGAGTAATAGTTTGCATAGGGTGGGGGCGCACTATTTGTTTTTCCTCTTTTGCAAAAAAATGGAATATCGGTGTTTTTTTCTCTCTTCAGTTTCTTTAGATTTGTATGGTAAGCGGCATTTTAGAATCATGTTGTTAATCGGAAGCGGGAGGGGGAAGGCGGGGTAAACGGTTGAAGGGGGGAAGGAGGGAGAGAAGGGATGGTAGAGTCATGGGGAGTCACTCATATGTGGCGTACATCACCGATCCTTTGCTACACCGGCCTTTATCAGTTGGTCTTGAAGTTACAATCTCCACTCCTTCAATCTACCCTATCTTCTCTGATCATGATCATTGGGCTTTCTCTCTCGGGAGAAGGTATCGGTAGCTATGCTAGTGGCGTAGTATATTCTCGTAATACCAAACGAGCACGCCCGGCGGAGGATAAAACATCCACAGTATGATATCATACAAATACCTCCCCCCCCACGATCAATTCACACCATCCGCCACGCTTCCAGGGATATGGCCAGTCAGATCCGTTGAGTAGAAAGAATGGTGGGACGTGTGTGTATGTACGGTACCCTACTATACAGTATCGTGATATGATGGGGGAAAGTGTCGGGGCACGGCGAATGAGTTCCTGCAATTGGCGGATAAGACTTTGCGGGAAGTTTTCTTAAATGGTCATCGTACGCCTTGGGTATGAAGTATCGTACCGTGAATTTTCATTGTGGCGGCTTCCTTAGATTTCACGAACCACCCCCCCCCGCGCGCGCTCTAGCCACACTGTGAGAATGGCGTGTCATCCGCAGCAACATGAACTGTGTTATACTCATACGAGGAAGTGTATTTTCCTATTTTTCCTGCCTGCCTTTCCTATTTGTATGATAAGAGAATAATATGCAGTTATTATAGTTAGTTTTTAGGTTAGAGGGACTGTAGGATGATGAGAGGAAATTGGATAGGGTTGGGATTCATTACTTTGGTATGATACTTTGGTATATAGGTTGTATCATATTCAGTGGATAAGCTATGGTCTTATACTGTACCCATATCAATCCACAAAATTTCGTTTAATGGAAAAAAAAGTTCTATGAACACTGTCACTCAGATGTGAGTTATGAATATTAAAAGAATCTGATGAATTTAATATCTGTAGCTGAACCTATACTAGAGGGGCCAACGAATAAAGGGTGGGTATACACCAGAGTACTACCGGTATAGGAGTATCAAGATAGTAAAACTTAATATTCCTAAACTGGTATGGTAGCTTTATAAGATCCTACTAAGAGGTTCTTGATTTGCCAAAGTGCTCGAGTACTGTACATAGACTAGAAGAGTTCTTGTGCTCGAGTATCATATGAAGGAAAAAGTCAAAATCAGAACCAAAATCACTACCTAGTCATTAGAACAAATATGCACAGTAGGTTAATTCCAATTGTCCGGAATCATAGTTTAGAGTATCATCATGATTCGACAGCTCCCTACTTCGCGTTGAATATAGCTCTCGCGCAGTACCACATAAGCATCCCACGCCAAGAAACAAGTCTGTGCAACCTTCTGTCACTTTTATTTTATTTTTTACAGTAAACGATCGAGGGTTAGGGTTACAGCTGCATCAATTTGTGCGCCATTCTTGTATTCTGGCAACTTTTCTCGACTTTGCTCTGACATAACCATTGAGGCCCCCATCTTTTCCCTTTCCTTTTCTTTTTTATTTTTCGGTTTTTTTTTTTTTTTTTGGAAGCTGTTGGAAAGCAACAGGGGAGTATACTGTACGAATACTTGTAACGGATTTATGATACGAACTTTCTTTCAATTCTCCCTCACTCACTCATCCATTCCCACAGTGTGAGAGCTAGAGCTGACGAAAAACCTTTTTTTTCTTCCCGTTGAGAGAGAGAGAGGTAACTTAGAGAGGATGTTACAGTTCTCGGCAACAGCGACAACGACGACAGCGACAACGACCACGACAACGCTGCTCGCTTTGCTACTACTGCCACTATTATGCTTAACAGTGACGGCATCGACGGCGTCGACATGTCGGGCCGTCACGGCGAATTATATCACGCATCGGTTACCGCAACAGTGTTTGAGAAATGGGAGTGGGAGTAGTGGGGGGAATTACACTGCTACGCCTAGTTCTAGTTTTGAGCAAGTGGTTGCTTCTATAACTGTGGTTACGGCGGGGGTAGGTGGTGAAGCCGAGGGGGGAACTCAAACAGCGATAGAAGCTTCTAGACCTACACAAGCTCCTTCGGCAAGTTCAACAATTTCCTCCGAGAATGCACCGACGGACACTGCAATCCTACCACCACCACCTCCTCCTCCACCGCCACCGCTGGGGGCTACCGGAGATGAAGGCGAGGATTCTCCCCTCGACACGGCCAAGTTCCTCTCCTTCGAGGAATGGAAAGCACAGAACCTGGCCCGTGCTGGACAGAGCTCTGAGAGCTTTGAGGATCGGGTGCGGGAGCCCCGGCGCGGTGGCGCTAGCGGTTCCCTGAACAACGCTTTGGATTCTCTGGGCGAGGACGCTGAGATCGAGTTTGACTTTGGTGGTGAACCTGATGGTGGAGTGCCTGAGTATGGGGTTGGCCGCTCGGACGGGCCCAATTCAGCGACGGCCGGTGGTGGTGGAGGTGAAGACAGTCCAGACCCGCGCGGTCATACAAGGTCCAAGAATGCAGGGACGACGTGCAAGGAGAGGTTCAATTACGCTTCTTTTGATTGCGCGGCTACGGTGCATAAGACAAATCCTGAGGCTAAGGGGGCTACTTCGATACTCGTGGAGAATAAGGATAGCTACATGCTCAATAAATGTGGTGCTGAGAAGAAGTTCTTCATCGTGGAGCTCTGCGATGACATACTCGTCGACACGGTCGTCCTAGCGAACTTCGAGTTCTTCTCGTCCATGTTTCGGAGTTTCAAGGTGTTTGTCAGCGATCGGTATCCCATCAAGCAGAATGGCTGGAAGGATCTCGGCACCTTTGAGGCGAGGAATACCCGGCAGGTGCAGGCATTCCTGATCGAGAACCCGCTCATCTGGGCGAGGTATTTGAAGGTGGAGTTTTTGACCCAGTATGGGAATGAGTTTTACTGTCCGGTTAGCTTGTTGAGGGTTCATGGGACGACCATGATGGAGGAGTTTAAGCACCAGGGTGAGGTTAGTGCTGGTGGGGCCGAAGAGGATATCATTGAGGAGGTGGTGCCTGAGGCCGTTGCTGTAAATATAGAGGATGAGGTGCTAGCACGGGCTTCGACTGTGACCCCGGCGGCCGCGGAGGAGGCACCGAAGAAGGAGGTGTATGAGGTCAATGAGGCGCCGGTGCGGAAGAAGTTCAGGATCCAGAGGGTTCATGGCGGGTCGGCGATTTGCAGACCGGTTTCAGTCTTGGAATTTGCGCCTTTGTTTCTGCCGACTTGTGCAGTCATGCATATACCCTCTGTGACCCATTCCACTCCCACCTCCGTCATGGCGGAGTCGTCCACTATCATTTCCGCCGGGACGGCGTCTTCCCCCGCAGCAGAAATTGGGACCGTCAGTCCTACGAGTGCGGTCCCGGATCCCCCGGAAAACAGCGTTAGCAAGGAGCCAGCGCCGGCGACTCCCTCCCAGGCTAAAGAGAAAGAGAAAGAGACGACGCCTAGTACTTGCACTACCAGCGCCAAAGCACCCGACACAACCTCCCGGGAGCCCGAACACCACCACCCTCCTTCCCCCCCCTCTCCCCCTCCCGCACCCCCCCTCTCCCCGGTAACGCACTCCCACTCCCATCCTCCCTCCGCGGTGCCAACAACCCAAGAGAGCTTCTTCAAAACTGTACACAAGCGCCTAAGCTTGCTAGAAGCAAATGCAACCCTCTCATTACAATACATAGAAGAGCAATCCCGCATCCTCCGCGACGCCTTCGTCAAGGTTGAAAAGCGCCAAATGGAGAAGACGACACAATTCATTGAGAAGTTGAATTCTACAGTTTTGGCAGAGCTACGTAGCTATGTTTGTATCCCCTCTCTTCCCTTCCGTTCTCGAATTCCGGGCGGTACTAACGCTCAACAGAGAGAACAATATGACCAACTCTGGCAATCAACCGTAATAGCCCTCGAATCGCAAAACACGCACACAGACCAGCAGATACAAACCCTAACCACACGGCTAACCCTACTAACCGACGAGCTCCTCTTCCAGCGGCGCATCTACCAACTACAATCCCTTCTTCTACTGCTAATAATCATAACTGTGGTTGTCAGCGTCGTTATATTGTTCTTCAACCGGGGATCTTCCTCATCAAACTCGGTCTTGCCCGGAGGAGCAGGAGCCCGAAGGTTACTAACAAGGCACCTGCGCTCGATCTCCCAGGATGACGATCCGCAAACACCGCCACCCCCGACGCCGACGCCGCGATCACCACCCAGCGGGGATTCACTAACCTCGCCAACATTGAAGTTCGAGCCCCCGAGCCCCGCCACTCTTGCCAAAGATGAGGAGGGGGAAGAAGAGGAAATCGAGGGAACAAGGAGCTCCCCTGCAACACCTAGAGGGACGAGAGATGTTACTGCGCGCGGGAGCGCATGGGCACGGTTTGGGCCCAAACTTAAGACTGATAATGGTGGTGGTGGCACTGGCAGTGCAGGGACGGGGGCAGGGAGGTGGGGTCGTCTGCCGAGTCCGTTGGGGAATTGCCCCGCGGGCGGCGGATACACTAGTGGTAGCGGTAGCGAGCGTGAGTGCTAGTGAGACGGAGAGCAGGCGTCACCGCCACCATTGCCGGAGACGTATTCTGCTTCTGGCGGGAGTGGGTGAGGGGTGTATGTCATTCTTACACCTCTCTCTCTCTCCCGCCTTTTTTTCCCCGCTGTTTAGGTATTGCTATTATACCCTCTTTCCCTTTCTTTTCTTCCTTAGGCTCAGCATGGAATTTGGTGTTTGTCTGCATTTGGCGATCGGTGGTCTGCTTTATTTTTCATTCCCTCTCTAGTGATTAATGTGCCGAACAGAAGAAGGGAAGACGGCCCTGTTTAATTTTCCTGCCTTGTTTGTTTACTTGTGCAGTGTACGAGTACGATGCTTAACGACCCTTGTTTTATTTCTGTTTTATTTTTTCCTTTTTAGTATCATACTGTAGCAAAAGAGGGGAAGAGACATCGGTATCACCATAATGACGATCTATCTGCCGGTGTTGCGAGCCCCGTGGTACTTGCATTGTTGTGTGGTGCCATGATTTAAAATTGTCCCCTCAAAGTCTCAGACCATCCGATCTCTGTGGCGAGTGCTAGAAACTCACCTATGACTGGTTTTCAGCAAGAGTGGCAAATGACAGTTCTAATCCTCAAATTTCTCGCAATACTGGTAGGAGAAGGCGAAGGGGGGGGGAACTTCCTGACTCCAACGAAACAACGCTTTACCATTGTCTATCATACAAAGTGCGACAAGCACGACCGTCCTGATTGTGACGCGCTTAAAATATATGCGGCAAATTACGGTATAGATACGCATTCGTTATTTATTTGGGTTCTTGGCGCAGCGAGTCACTGGTTGTGATTCATTGCCTTATCAGATTCATTTTCAGCCCCTGAATGGTTGTTTAATCACAATATCTTTGCCAGTGAGCAAACACACAAATTCCCAATACTAACGTCAGTCTAATCTCACTCACTCGTACACTCAACCCAACTCAACCCCCCCTGCTCCACAGCGCCGCATACACATTCCATGAAAAACTTAACACCCGACAAGCATAAACCAAGTCAAGTCAGTCACTGACTGTTATGTTACTAAAGGATATGTTGTGACTCTTGTTTACCTCTTCTCACCCTCACCCCCCCTCTCCCTCACCATAACATTATAAACCCGCTGTGCGGTATTCAATCACACCATATAACTTACCCTTCTACTTTTGCAACCATGGCTGAAATATTTGCTCAACTTCTCTACCTCTACGACGGTCTGATTAAGGCGCCCACCAGCGAAAAGGTGTTGCATAATCAGTTATGGGTTGAGCGCGCAATATTCGTTGCCTGGGGGCGCGCAGTCGGCCTCTCCGCCGATGCTCGTTCGAAACCGCTGGCGGGCGATTTCGACGATGGGGATCTGTTGCGCGCAGTGGAGATTACTATGAAGAGTGTAGTGGAGGTGTGCGCTGATAGAACGATGGCCTGGAGGAACTTTGGTGTGAGGAAGGGTGGGAGGGGTTTTCTTCGAAAGTTTCTTTGGAAGACTACTGAGGAGGAGGAGGAGGCGTGGCAGATCGCAGATGGGAGGAAGTTCAAAGACCTGGTGGACGAAATGAAGAGAGTCAACTGTGATCTGGAAAGGATTGTTTCTAGGAATTGTGTCCCGGCACACCCGGCGGAACGGGAATTCGAAGACGAGGATGAAGAGGAAGAGGAAGAAGTATTGGAGGAGGATGCAATGGCCGGAATCCCACCGCCAGCGTATTACCATCCCGTCTCTGCTCCGCCATCTCCGCCAGCATCCAACTCTCCGTCACCATCGCCATCCCCGCTCCCCTCAAACCGCCATAAACCCCGCCGCAGCAGAGACCTTCCCCCTGCCCTTGCGGCCCTCCTCACAACCTACAACATGACAGTGCAGACCTATGGCCCCTCTGCACCAGAGGCTCTCTCTATCGAAGACCTCCTCTGGCACAATCACTTTTCCCAAGCCCCTGACTTCTCTGCTGCACACACCGCGCAAATAACCCACGGCCGCGATAGTCCGGAAACTATCCGGGCACTGCACTCTCTTGCCCGTAATCTCTCCGACAAACAGGATTTCGCTACAGCACTCGCGCTCTACACAATCTGCCTTTCCCGTGAGACCCGTGTGTATGGTAACTCGCACCCGCAAACACTCCGGTCGATGTCCGGCCTTGCTTTCGCATTCCAGAACGTCGGAAAGGACGAGGATGCGCTGGAAATGTACCAGCGAGCGCTAAGTAGATGGGGAGACGTGGTTAATGTGTATACTGTGCGGGCTAGGGTAAATGTCGCTAGTATATATGCCGATAATGGACGATTTGAAGATGCGGAGGAAGTGCTGAGACGCACCGTGCAAGAGGCCGGAGTAAAACTTGGGGGTGGTCATGAGAGCACCAAATTAGCGATGCATAACCTCGGATTCTTGCTCAGAGCCTTGGGGAGGGGTAGAGAGGCCGCCGGAGTTTGTGGGTGCGGAGAGTGGGAACATGAGTGGGCAGACTGTCCGCTGCAGCGAAGGTAATGCCTTGTATGCAGGAGGGGCGATGAAAAGGGGGGGATTCGATTCTTTGTTTGTATGTTTTGAGATATATTTTGACAATCAGAGGTTCCTTTACTAAAACGATGTGCCGTCTATTAACAACGAGTGAGGTGTTGCGCAACGTGAGAGATGGCTGATTGAAGTGAGCAATGTGTTCACGAATAACTATTTGCTTGTATGTTAAGATGTCCTACTAGGACGTCTCAGAAATAGTGGGTGGAGAAAACTATGAGAAAGTAAAGGGCCATGGCTCTTCATGCACTCACAGAGTTTGCTGCACAAATGGCAGTGCCCATCGAGACACCGCCCAAGCCCCATTCGAATGATGGGGGAGTGCTGCAAGAAATAGGTGATAAATCGAACGGGAGGAGTAGAAGGATAGACTTTGGGTGAAAAGTTAGTGAGTTCAGCTTAGGGGAGAAAAAGAAGTGTAATCAATGTTGATGTATGGGATAATATTTGTTGTTGAGATGAGGAATATGGGTTGGGGAGCCAGGGGGATGAGGGAGATGAGCGGCGGGGTGTATACCGAAAAGCACAGTATGATACAACCCGGCGATAAAAGGGGAAACAAACTCAAGGAGAAAGCGTGGTCAACAATAATAAGGAGAATATTGCGTGTATTGTGTATTGTCTGACCTCCGGTGGCCAACGGAAATTACGAGTATGATAGACCATGCGGCGTGCCATCTCGAACGGACCAGCAACACCACGAAATTGTAAGGAACGAGTGACACACCATGACCGGAAGCGGAGTATGCACCGTGCTCGAACAGATTCCCACTATAATACAAGATATATATCTTATGACACAAGTACCACCTCAAAAGAATGACCCTGTCCACCGTTGTATCCTCATCCATGCACCTTCTGGTGATAGCTTCGGACGAACGTCTAGGTAAAAGCTCAAGGCTTCTGGCCGTTTCGGGTCAGGCTTCCCGCTGTAGAAATCAATGACATAGTCGATCTTCTTCCCGCAGCGGTCAATGGCCCAGTCGTGGCGGTCAAAAGGCGCTTGGTAGCTAGTTTGAGTTAGTTATTGCAAAATAGGAGGAGGGAGAGGGAGGTGCTACCCTAATAGGACCATGAACCGGGCTTTCGGCGTGAGTTTCTGCGAGTCCCCAGAGAAAGAAACAAGCTTTGGGCCACCACATCTGCAGGTTCACAGAACATCAGCGAATGCTCGGAGGCGGGTAGCTAAATTTGAAACCAACTTCTCAGAACCTCTACCGGCCTCCCATTCCTTAATCTCCTTCCACGCCCTCTCATTAACAGCATTATGTATCGGCACAATTGTGCGCATATCCTCGGCCTTCGGATCCCAGTCCTTACGCTTCATAGCGTTGAAGAACATCTCCTCCGAGGGATAGATCCAATTCCCACTCCTGGGATCTCGGTACCGTTGATCATGCTCCGAATTCGACCCCTCCATGTTCGCTCTCGGGATCGTGGAGACCTCCCGGTCGACACCTAGCATTAGATTAGAGGGCTTGCGGTATCCAGCTGGGAGCGTCTGGACCATTTTCGACGAGTCGCAGGAGGTTGAGGGCTTCACCGAGGACAGCCATGTTGAGCGGGCAGAGTCAGGTACCGGACATGCATCTGCTCCGGTAGCAGCAGCAGCTGTGGCGGGTTTGGGATTTTCTGGTCCGGGCATTTTCGGTGGGATTGCGGGCGGGTGGTAGGGAGAGTGAGGGATTGAAATGGAGATGTCACTACTCGGGGGTGGGAGGCGAGGTTTCTCCCTCGATAACAGCGCTCGATGGTGAAGGGTTTGAAACTTACCCGCCTGGCACACCGTTCCCGAGGTAGCCCATCCAACGACAGGGGTGTTGGCTCCCCTCTCAAATTGAAATTTCCCTTCTCTTTCATCGAAAACATCACAGGAACAAATCATGACCGATAAGAAAATCTATTCTGCAAGCACTACTGCCCCCGTCAACATTGCTGTTGTCAAGTATGTTTTTACCCCTCCACTCTCCAACCCGGTTTCATCCGGCTTTCGTCAAGTCTTCCCCTCCGCCATCCTACTCCCCTTGGAACCTAGGATCGAACGACCCCCCGATCTAACTTGTTCCAAAATAGATACTGGGGCAAACGCAGCGTAAAGCTCAATCTTCCTACCAACTCCTCTCTCTCCGTAACCCTCTCCCAAGCCGATCTAAAGACCCACACAACAGCAGCCTGCAGCAGCACCTTCACTGAGAACTCCCTCTGGCTAAACGGTGAAGCCCAAGACGTCTCAGGAGCCCGGCAAACCGCCTGCTTCCGCGAACTCAAAGCTTTGAGAAAGAAACTCGAGGACGCCAACCCATCCCTGCCTAAGATGAGTGAGTACTATGTTCACGTTGTCTCCGAGAACAACTTCCCAACGGCGGCAGGGCTTGCATCCTCCGCTGCAGGCTTCGCTGCCTTAGTTCGGGCCATTGCGGATTTGTACGAGCTGCCGGAGTCACCGACGGAATTGTCCAAGATCGCTAGACAGGGGTCCGGCTCGGCCTGCAGATCGTTGTTCGGTGGATATGTTGCGTGGGAGATGGGGCAGGCGGTGGACGGGAGTGATTCGTACGCGGTGGAGGTGGCACCGGCATCTCACTGGCCGGAAATGAAAGCCGCTATTCTCGTCGTGTCTGCTGCGAAGAAGAGCGTTTCCTCCACGGCTGGTATGCAAGCTACCGTAAACACCTCTGCGCTCTTTACCCATCGTGCGTGCGACGTTGTTCCCAAGAGGATGGAGGCTATGAAGGCTGCTATTGAGAATAGGGACTTTGAACAATTTGCTGCTCACACCATGGCGGATTCGAATCAGTTCCATGCGGTCTGTCTGGATACTACACCTCCGATATTCTACATGAATGACGTCTCCAGGGCTGCTATTCGTGCTGTTGAAGCGTTAAATACCCATGAAGGGAGGGTTGTTGGGGCATACACTTTTGATGCGGGTCCAAATGCGGTCATATATTATCAGGAGAAAGATGAGGAGAAGATCCTGGGATTTTTGGGGACGTTGTTGGCACCAGAGGTTGCTGAGTGGGCTGGAAAGTACGCAAAAGTTACGCCGGAGGGATACGATAATGGGTCTTTCGAGGCATTGAAGGATGGTGTTAGTAGGGTTATCTTGACCAGGGTTGGAGAAGGACCCATCAGGACTCATGATTCACTGATTGGAGCTGATGGGTTGCCGAGAAAGAGGTAGGATGATTCCTCGCATGGTAAACGTATTTTGTTGCAGTATTGGGGGGAAGTAGGATATCCATGCATTTTGGGCATATTAGTTAGTCGCTTGAAGGCTAGTTTTCAATCAGCGAAATATATACTGGGATCCATGTAGCCTAGTGGGGTTGGTCTCTAAAAGATATAGTACATGCGCCGTTGTCTGATGATCAGCCGGATATTATTGAGGATGGCGAAAATGTCAAGGGAGAGCGAGGGCTTTCGGACTTCTCTTTTTTTTTACCCCCCATTTTCTCCCCGCCCTTCTCCCCAACAGGAATTTTAATTTAATTTACGCCGTCCTTCCAGTTTCCTTTTTGAGATATTCGGTGACCTAATAATCCTGGGGCTGCTTTACCTGGGGAAACTCCTGCTGCTAGAACATATCATACTATAAGTCGAGACCCATGTCAAAGAAGCCCCCCCACACGCCAATAGCAAGGACGAGGGTCCGACTTTCGACCTTGCCACGCACGACTCACAAAAGAGCGGCTTCCCCGGAGACCTGTCTTATAGTGTCAATAACCGCAAGAAGTAACTTGAAAAGCCTCCCCCCCAAACTGGACAATATATACAGCACGATGCCGATACACCTATGCCGAATTCCCCCCTCGGGTAAGTTAAAACGGACCCAACGCTGACCAACACCACGCCGCACCCCGCACACATCCCGCACAAGAAGAGCCGCCTCTGTATGATGCCGTGTACCAGTAGCAAGTTTAGCGTTGTGGGGAACGTGGACAACGGCCAACCGATCCCTGCCTAACCTGAGTTCCTGCCCAAAAAAGGCTTATCGCAGAGCCTCAGCCCTCGCTAATCAGGGATTAACATTTGGTGCACGGACGGACGGCAAACGGACACTGCACAGCAAAGAAAAAAAAAAAAAAAACAGACCGGGAAGCGGGAGGGAGGGAAAAACGGGCGGGATTCACCACCATTTTTCATTTATCCATTTGTTTGTACCCCCGGTACGGAGCATCTGTCTAGTCTACTCGAGTAGTGCTCGTTGGAATCACTTTGCTCTGGGGTGAGTAGTGTAAAGGATAAAATAGTTTATCAAAAATTTAATATTCTCAGTTGAATTCTACCCTTCCGTCAGGGAAGGGGAAGGAGAAAGAAAAGATTGAATACAGAAAGTATGGCATGTCTGAAGTCTTAGTTGGGATAACTAAGACATTATGGACAGGAAAGTGGTTGGGAGCGATAGACAGAGAAAGAGGTAGACGAAATGAAGCGAAAGGAATCCGAAAAAGTAGGAAGCGAAAGAACTCCGTGTCAAAATAATGGAGAGCGAATTGAAAAGAGGAAAAGGGAAAAGTGATAATGAGGGCAAGAAGATGGAAGGGATGATAATTATATACAAGTATCATAGTTTTTTTTATTGTTCACCTGAAAAGAATGCTGATAAGGGGGGGGGGTGAATGGAGGGGATTGGAAAGTAGGAGAGTGGTGTCGGTGGAAAGGGGGAAGGGTTCATTGAAAGAAAAATAAGATTTTTTTTTAAAAAATCACCCATCTCTCCCTTTCCAGCCTTATCAATCGAATATGAGAAAAAGAAGAAAAAATGAACCCTAAATAAAAAGGAAAAGCATAAGAAAAAACCGGCAAAATTCCCTACATTCTATCAGAATAAATCCTGTGACCTCCCCAACTAATTTTTTTTTATTGAGACGAACCGAAACGAAAAAGAAATGTTATCGAAGGAGGGGTCCGGAGAAGAAGGTATTAAAATTGATGAGTGGTATCAAAATGCGATATTTATTACCAAGAGTAGTGTTACAGATGAACAGAGATCAGATCGGTCACCGCGAATGCTCGTCCGCAGTTGGGACACTTTCTAGATCTCGAGGATATTCTCTCGTCTGCACATTGCCTGCAGAAGACATGGCCGCATGGTCTGATAGCAGTATTCTTGAAACGGTTTCTGCAGACGGTGCAGAGGGCGATTTGCTAAGTCACAAACAATGTCAGCAATCCCACCTACTTCTCTGGTTACGCGCTTGGGAACATACTCTTAAGGCTTCAAGCTGTGAATTTTCACTACCCTTTGGCCTGTTATTTTCAAGGCATCTTTGAGCGTCTTCTAGCTTCACCTGAAGCTTTTCGACTTCGATCTCCGCTTCCCTTCTTCCAGCAGATTCTCTGGACACCGCTGCATCACGAGTTTTCAGGTACGTGCTAAGTTCGGCTACTTGAGACTTCAGGGAATCAGTAGTATTGTTTTGTTCTGCCACACGAGACTGATGCTCACGATTCCTCGTAATTAAGGTCTGTTGAACAGTTTTCATTTCGGCGATCTGTTTCTCCAAATTGACCTTGAATTTTTGTCAGTATGTACTCTTATTAGATATCCTGAAGATTTAAACTCACCACTAGATCGCGAACCTTCTTTTCAGCGTCCTTGAGTTGAGTGATAATATCCGTGCTCCTAGCATTCAGGTTCTTCAGGGCTCGGTTCTCAGCGCTCAATGTCTCTTTATTCTTCATTGCTGAAAAGTACTTTTGATCGGCTTTTCCTTTCTGTGGACAGTAAGCATTGAATGTGATGAACAAAGGAGGAAGCATACTTCGGCCTGCAAGCGTCGCATCTTATCCTCACTCTCCTGGATCCCTGCAACCTTTCTGGATGCTTGATCATGAGCCTTCTTGAAAGCTTGCTCTAACGCGGGTAATTCCTGGGTCAGAACTTTATAAGCTTTGTCGAGGTGCTCATACTTCTGCCTGAGCTCGTCTAGGCCCCATTCTGCGAAAGGTTGAGTGTCTGAGAGGGCTTCCTTGTCAAGCTCGAGTCTCAACCGTTCAACCTCCATTTCCAGCGAGGCAATTCTGGAAGCCCTTGTTTCAGCCAGTTCGTTAACCTCTCTAATCGACCCAAGTTTCTGATCTTCTCTTGTTTTGCGTTGAGTCTGGTCTTGGATGAGCTCATCTCGAGCGGCTCGCACACGGGCAAGGTCTTGTTCTGTCCTGCTCAATTGGAGTTGCATATCACTTATTACAGTATGCTGTTCAGTGAGAATCAACTCCTTATATTTCGTGCGTTCAGCTTCAAAATGTTCGGTTCTTTCTAACAGCTCTCTGTTGAGAGCCTCGATATGGTTGAACCGGGTAGCTAAATCTTCGAGCTTGACCCTCAGGTTTTTATAGGCATCGCATTTGGATATATCTTCTTCCGACAGCCTTCCGAACTAGAATCCCATTAGCCAATGCCTGTGTAGACCAGATTTCAAGCGTGGAAAAAAAAAACACAAAAATACCTTGATCGTAAAAGTCGTTACTTGTTCCGAGAGTCGAGTGTTATCGGCTTGTAATTGTTGAAGCTCTTCTTTCTGCTTGCTAGCAATTGCTTGAGCTTCTTTACGGGCCTGCTCAGCATCGGCGACATTTCCTTCGGCAACTTTCGCATTGATCTCCCGATCTTTTGCGGATTGTTCGTCGCTATTCCCCCCGTCTTTATTATTTTCGGCCCCAGCATTCGATTGGAACATAGCTTGTCGCTCTATTTTCGCCAAAGTTTGGCTCTTTAGGCGGTCCACCTTCTTCTCTGCCGTCATGTACTTAATTGTCGCTTCGGTGAGTCGCGAGTTTGCATCTTCTTTTTCCTTTTGGAGGCGAGCAATCTCAACCTTGCGGGCCTTCTCGTTAGCCAGAAGGGAACTCAGCCGAGACTGTAGCTCTTCGACCCCGTCAGCCTTTTTATTATTTGACGAATTTGACCGGATCGCTGAAAATAGTGCCTGGAGTGAAGATGTTATGTGATCACGCTTTTCCTTCAAGTGATCTGTAAAGCTCGCTATATCGTTGAAGAGAAGAGATGAGGAAAATTCCAGGGAAGCTGTAGACCGATTCGTTAATAACTATATAAATTCAACACCACAGATTTCCTTAGCGTCAACCTACCTCCATTCTGGCAACTGCTATCGGGCTCGCCGGCAAGAAATCGAACTTCATCCAACAGCTATATGTCAAATCTCAGCCTAAAACTCAAGAGGGGCGGGATTTAGATCTCGGCCTTACCTGAGCCCACCAAGCATCTATTACTCGCAAATGATCGTCATGATACGTTGATCTTTTGTCTAACTCCTCGACTCTCGATTCCAACATGTTGCGCTCTCGCTTATATTCCATCATCTGGCGCCATATCGCTTCTTTTTGAAAATGCTTATAGGAAGGTGAGCGTTAGCGGGAGTGAAAAAGAGGATCGCGTGTGGCAGCGGAGGCCGGGGCAGGAAAGATCCGTGGTTGAAAAATAAAAATATGGAAATGAGGGGGAAGTGGTGCGTAGGATGGTAACGACTTACAATGACATCCTCTTGACTTTGTGGCACCTGATGGCTGTTTTGGGGTGCTTGAGAAGAAGAGGCAGAATTCAGAGCTGGTCGTTTAAATGGAGGTAAAGAATCATCGGACGGCTCATGCGGGACAGGTCGCTTCCGGTCTTCCATGGCAAGCACTGTCGTTCTCATGAGCCAGAGAATTAAGAAAGCTAGAAGGGTTTTAGGGTTGTAGGGGGACAGGAACTGGAGGAGACTAAGCGACGTTAGAGGCAGGAGAAGAGAGTGTTTAGGGGAAAGGATGATGAAGAGAGAAAAGAAAGAGAAAGGAGGGAGGGAGAGGCGAGTAGCCAGATGAGAGGGGGGGTGAAGAGGTTTGTATTGTGTGTATGGGTTTCTCCTTTTCTCGCGTGCAGAGAGTCGACAAGTTGAAGATGAGCGAGGCGGAGGTTCAGGTCTGTTTCTCTCACTGCGGCTATTGCCCGCGACCTGCGCTTACTCAGCAACAGCTTGTGCAGCCTCCTATTTCCTGCTCCTGGAATGCTATTCTTCCTCCTTTCTCTTATCCCTCTTTTGCCCCCAAGCCTTCCTCCTTTACTTCTCGGCCACCTCCCTTCTCCCTACCTCTCAAATACCTTCTGCAATAATAACGGTGGTGATAAACCGAATATTACAGCCATTGTCCTCGGCCAATTTTTTCCGGTCGAACGCAGTCTGAACAACGTCACCCTTTGACGCTATTCGTGCCCCACATCAACAATAACAACCAAGAGAGATATGGCTGCCGTGGCATAGGTAGCAATTGTGATATACTACTCCTGCGGCGTATGGCCAGTCTGTATCCTGCCCAATCGACCTTGACGCCCTTTACCGACCCCACCCGATAGTGACGGGGCATCACCCTAGACACAATTTGACCTGCCACCACCGACCCCCTAACTGGGGACTGGAAATACCGGTAGGATACGACCATCGTGCTTATAATCTCATTTCAATCCTCAACCCACTACCTGCGTACCGTCCGATTTTTCATCAATTTTATAACATAATCTTTTCTCATTCCGTTTCCCCAGGGATAATGACAGGTGGAAGGTATGGGAGTAAGGCTGCAGCGTTCCGCACCGCCGCAAGGTTCATCTCTACCCTGGAGGTTCTGTTAGAAATGCGTTGACCCGAGACAATACCAAAGCTTCGACTGAAGCACAGATCAACCATCAATACACTATTAGCATAGTGGGGGATGAAATTCCAAGCTTCAGTTTTAAAGGATATCCACTCTGCAGGATCACACTATCCAACAACCTACACAGTCAGACTACAAGCCAATCCCTCACTCGGAACCACTTTTACAAAACGGAAAGTTCGCCAAATTTCTCCTATTGCGAACATTAGCATTCTAGTTATTAGGATAGGAGCTTTGGGAATTAGATACCTTGTATCCAGCCGGCATCCATCGACCTTTTGAAACCATCTCGGCTGTTCGAGCATCGATATCTGGATGGGCTGCCGCGATGTCATCCTAGAAAAAACAAGTGATCAGACCGCGGTGACGGTAGTGTTAGGGGGGTAGAAAGTAGAGCAAATTGAACGGAGGCAAGTTGGGAAGCACGGTGTATTCGTGCGATAGAATGTAGCCCAAGATAAAAATAAAAACTCCACACTTCCACTCCCTTTCCAATCCTCCCCCAAATCGTAAAAATATACATACCACGGTTAAATCTTCAAACGGTCTCGTCTCCTCAATATTCCTCAGCGTTTTCTCTAACTCCTTCAACTCGTTGTCGACTCTCCCCTTTGTGACTTCCGCGTTCCTCACCGCCTCGGCTTCAAACCCCTCAATAATCCTGACTTGTTTCTCAACATCATAAGTAACCGGCTGGAAGCGCTTCCAAGCGTTCTCAACTTCGTCGATAATGGCCTGGTTCCCCAGAATAGATCGATAATACGAGAAGTCCACCTTCATCGGCTGCTCCCTGAGAACAACCACCTTCCTGCGAGCATCTTCGTTCCGTTTCTTGAACGCTTGGAGTGACGCGGCTGTTTGTCCCTTAAGACCGAGAGAACTAGTTATCCCAGCCCAGTTGATCTTGAGGGCAGCACTCTTCTACGATGTGGGTTAGATTGGGTATTGCTGTTGTGAGTGATGATGAGTGAGCAGGTATGTGGAGGCGGAGGGGTGAATACCGCTGGGGCAGACATGTTGGTATTAATTTAGCGTGGGATGCAAGGGGGTGGTGGAGGGCGATAAGGTGGAGTGCGGTAGTTAACACACTGATGGTGGTGTTTTATTTGGTTGCGGATGGGCTATGATGCCGGTGGATAGTTCTTCAGCACGGGCTGTTCTGCGTTTCGAAACAGGTTTGGTTGGAACAAGCACCGATACCGCAGGCATGGTTGGGCCATAGGGTTGCTTGGGTTAGTGGTGCACCATAATACTCGCGCGGCCGAGTTGCTGTTGGACACCCACATAGAGTAGTGATCGGCGAACCAATACTGAGCGTATTCCGGGCAACATAGTTAATAAGCATACCGCAAAAATTGGTTTAACTGGAAATCGCCCTAATGCTGCAAGATCGACATGTGGCGCAAAAAGAGGGGGTGGCAACTTAAGCGAATATCAAAATGTAGCCGAGTGATATGCTATGATGGTGGATGGGGAACACAAAAGGGAATAATCATGTATTCTTTCCCACGAGGTGGTATTTACTACAGTTGGAAGATGTGAGAAACCAAACCTATCTCAATCCTGGTCTACAAATTCTACCACACTCCCATGCTTACCATCTACAGGTAATCCAGAGTATGAAATAGGTAGATCCTCACCCCCCTCTGCACTATTTTCTCCATCTTCCCTCCAATTTCCAATCTCCAAAAGGGAAGAGTTGATACCCTTAATTGATAGCTCACTATCAGAAGAGCCATCAACCGGCAGTGTTAGTCCTAGGTTGCGAAATGTAGTGACAACCAACTCCGTATGAGTTTGGCTAAACTGTTCCCATGCTTGGCCAACTGCTCGAGTGACAAGAATCCGCCGTTCTGCTATACCAGAAGTATCTGATTGGTGGAGTTCTCGTAAATTTAGCTGGTGAGTAGCTTCGTAGTTGTCGAGTAGTTGTTCAAGAATATCGCGAAGGATGTTTTTAAAGGGTTTGTTTACAGAAACATCGAGTGGCTGCACAAGTCCGGTACAGCCGGCCGGAATCATAGAGGGGATGATGTTATTTGAGCGTAAGGTATGCAGAACCTCTTGGGTAGAATGGAATTTGGCAACATCCAATGCAAGTAATCGGGAGCCCTCGGGCAAAGCAGGAACCAGAAATTGTTCAATCCATTCTACCAATAAACCAGCATTGGAATATGCTGATTCATTCCACTTAATTGCCACCCTGTCATCGTATCTGGCCATTTCCTCCTCCCGTTTTCTTCGAAAGTATTTGGCTTGCTGTCCCTGATACTTTTCTTTACCCTTGAAAATTATCAAAGGCTTTACTCTTGGCTTTCCACTTCCAAACACAGTTAACAAAAGGGTAGCCTACCGCTTGTCCCAACCACTATTGCTGGCTTTGACTTGAACGGTCTGGCTACTCTTGTCTGCATACGTCTGACCGTCGAGGAACTTGAAAGGTAGGGGGATCTTATCGATATTACAAATACTATCCAGTAAGTATTGACCTACAACCCTCTACTCATCACAAGTTTCCTCTCTAACCTGCGAGTTGCGTCTATTGAAGCGCAACCATGAGAGAATACTCTGTAAGTACTCCTCGGGTATTTTATGAGACTTGTTTGTTGTAAATCGCAGAGTTATCCGGTGCCGAGAGAGGAACCCAGCCAGCCACCCGTTGGAGAAAGAAAATTCGGAAATATTCTGGTTTGGATAACAAATCGCAAAGGCTTGATAAGCTTCCCATTGAAGCCAACCACTCTGAACAGCCTTCTGTTCTTCGCGCCGCTCACAATATTTGTCGTATAAATTGGCTTCTAACTCTGGCCAATAACAGAAGTTGGCACCTGCTCTGTTTCTTCTTTCTCCCTTCTTTCCTCCTACAATCTGGTCTTGACTGACTCTCCAGTTATGCACAGTTGTGATTGGTACGAGATAGCACTCCAATACTTCCTTCATCAATGGTGCTCGTAGCACTCCCGGTTCTGCTTCTTCTGCCCCCTGTAGTATCCGGTGGTGGTACCACCACTGAAGTACCTCAATTTTAAACTCTTGTGTATAGGAGCGCTGCATGCGCTTCTTAACACCCATGAAATACCCTCCACCCCGCTTCACAATCGACTTCGCTCTCTTTCCCAGCCTCGAATTTATAGTCATGTGGAGAAGAGTACTCGGACCTGTACTAGCAACTTCTACTACAGGTTCTTGGACGAGTTGGGTGAGTGGTATTTTGGCTATAGCAGGAAGCCTTGGAATATCTCCCGTTGACTGAATGTTGACTTGGTTTTCGTTTTGCTCGGCTACTGTGGTAGGTATATCTTCATTTGGCATTCATGGTGCTGGATTGAGAAGAAGCTGAATCTGCATCATGCCAGCTCTGATATCGTGTCCTGCTTGATTTCTGGGACTAAGATTCAGTCAATTAACATTTAAATTCTCCCATTGTTTATATTGGCAGAATTTAATGGTTTATTGACTGGATCTTCTGAATCTCTATTCAGTAGTCATTCTTGTGGACTGAATGCTACCAGTATGACTTTCTTCTGGTATTTCTTTTTTTTTCCCAAGGGTTTCTGTTCCTGAATCAACCTGTAAATCACTTGAGGTTCAAGCAAAGTTGAGTAATCTGGGATTGTGGCTTGGGCTGACTGTGGATCCTCGCTTACTTATTTGTTTTTCGTCTTAGACTCATTTCCAGTTAAACCAATTTTTGCAGTATACGATACAACAAAAATCATGATTCAATACTCTTTATTCTCAGCATCGTAATATATTGATAATTCTAGCCATTGAAATTATTATCCCCATTGTGGAGGATTACTCTTTGAAGCTTCTCATGAAATGTTTGACACTTTTGATTAATTACAGCCAGAGGAAGAGCTTTCCAAGTTCTCGCAAGTATCTCCTTTGCTCCCACAACCTCCATCCCACTTGCCCACACGAACTGCCAGGTTGAATTCAACCCCATCCTTCTCGTAATCTCAGATTGGTTCAATTTGGTTCAGGTTTGGAGATTTGCACAGCCAATTTAAGGTAACAATTCCTTGAGACTTCTGCTCCTTGTAGTCTATTTGCAGTACAGTTTGATGACAGAGTGTCACGAATGTGGCTTGGCGAGGAAAAGGGTTTCACGTGACACATGGTTATGAGTCACAGGTATGTTATCGTTTTACACATATGACTCATTCAAGTAATATCATTTGTTATGTGTGGGATTTGTGATGCTTTCGTACATGGCTCAAATATGAGTCATGGGATGTGCACCTGACAAGTAGGCCTTGCGAGTGTGCCTTGCGGGTAGGCCTTGCGCATATGATTTATGTTTCGCACATGACCTTGTTATGAGGTCATGGGTTTTACACATATGACGCAGTTGAGTCATATGACTTGTTTATTGTGTTATGATTGGTTTATGAGTTTTTGCACATGACCTCGCTATGAGATCATGGGTTTTGAGCATGTGACCACTTTGGTCATATGACTAGTTTGTTAGGATTTGGTTTCGCAGATGTGACCACTTTGAGTCACATGACTACGGGTGGGAAGAACACTATATAAGGAGGCTGATAAAGCCGAGGAGGATAGGTTCTTCATGCTTTGTTCTAAGTACTTTTCCTACTTATTATTACTTTAATGAATTTAAAAATACTTTTACGATCTTTATCTTTATTGCAACTATATCATTATGCCAAGAAGAGCTCTTTACGCAGAAGAGTTAGAGAAAACTTACGATAGGCATTTCCGATAGAAGACAAAGGTCTTGTACTATCAGTAACGTAGGCAGAGGCCTAGTACTATCATAAGACGAAAATGAAGGAGAAGAAGAAGAGAAGTATCATTTCCCATCGCCAAGAACTAACTATTTGAGGAGGGATGGTTACATTACAAAGCATTATCTAGTACGACGTCAAACGATACAAGACAGCATCCTTCAACCCAGACAGGGAAGGAGATATTGATATCGACGATCAAAACCTTCACCTAGGGGGATTCAGCGATGCCCTAGATCACGTTTCAGCAGAGCCCTTGAGGGCAGCAAGCCCAGTAACCCCAGAGAAATGATCACCAGTCGATAGCTCTTCTGCAGGAACTCCATGACCTGAGAGAGAATGTGGGGATCAGCAGTACCTGGGCCACCGGTCCTGGCTGCTCCCGTACCAGGTACTAGCATACTTGGAATGACTGAGAATCTGTTTCAGACATTTCTAGGAGCAACACGAAACACAGGACAAAGAAACATCCAATAACTAAAAGCAAAAGAACCCGACACATACGAAGAGGCCAAAGATAAGCTACCAATATTCCTGGCACAATACGAAGGATATTTTGCCATTAAGGGATATAGAGATCACCACGATGAGATCAAGATTCCATATGTGGAATCTCTACTAAGAGGACTAGTGGGGCAATAGATCATGCCCTTCCAAGTTGGAAGGAGAGGGAATGGGTTACGTACGAAGAGTTCAAGGCGACACTCTTCGAACAATTTGGGGATCCCAATGCCAAAGAGACAGCAAGACGAAAGCTGGAAAAACTCTAACAAGGAAAACAGACCTTTTTGGCATACTGGAATGAATGCCGACTATTGGAATACGAGGCCGAGTTTGATGATGCTACCCTCTACATCATCCACCTGAGAAACTATAGTGAAAGACTCCGAGAAGCGTGGGGAATCTCTGACTTGCGTTACACCACGGCAGAACTCTTTGCAAGGTGGGCCAACGATAAAGAAAGGAAGCTAAACATGGTTCGAAACAACTCAGAAAATACTATAGCACACAAGGTGGCCCAATCATTAAGGAACGTGGATGGAGCCTTTAAACCACAAGCAGCTTGAGGTGAAAGTCGAGCATTACTACCAGGTGAGCCAATAGAGTTGGACAAATCAAGGGCAGGACCTGCTCTGAACCTGTCTAAGAAAGAATATGCCAGAAGAATAAACAGGAAACTCTACTCAAGATGCAGAAAAGCAGGATATCAGATACAAGAATGCAGAAGCCGACATGGCAGTGGATACCAAGGCACCAGAGCTGCTGGAAATAATCGCTTCCAAACTCAAAAAAGGAGTAACATTCACGAAATAATCGCAGAAGATATACCGGCGGAAAACGAAGAGGGTCTCCAGT